TAACGCTCTCTCTCTCTCTCTCTCTCTCTCTCTCTCTCTCTCTCTCTCTCTCTCTCTCTCTCTTTCTCTCTTTCTCTCCCCTCTCTCTTTCTGAATGTTAATTCTTTCCATATGAGATTTCTATTTTACTCGTCTTTTGTTAAAAATTTAAATAAAAATTTTGGAAAAATGAAAAACCAATATTAATTGTTTCTTATTTAACTTCTGTCTTTATGAGAAAAATTATTTTCATTAATTCATAATACAATTAAATATTTTCTTTGAAAAGGTGTCACGCGTGCTCTAAAGCATTTAGCCAAGCAGCAAATCTAACCGCTCATGCGAGGACGCACTCCGGAGAAAAACCTTTTCGATGTCCAGTGTGTGATAGGAGGTTTTCGCAAAGCAGTTCAGTAACTACGCATATGAGGACGCACTCAGGTGAACGACCCTACAGGTTTGTATTTTATTCTTCAAAATCTTCAAAAACTGCCCTGTTAAAAAAATAGATAAAAACAATAGGAAATGATTCAACCGTTTTTAATCGTAATTGTGAATTATTGGAAATTTACGAAAGAATATCCATAACTGATTCTTTATTGTTTCTTTTCATAATTATCTTATTTATTATACAGGGTGTCCCAGAATTCGCGGACACGGAATATACTGTGTGATTATCCGTATCAAAATAAGTAACTTTTTCTGCTGGCAAAATTGTGTCTGAACAATAATTTTTTAATGAAAGCAATTTTAAGCTAACGAATGAGCGCTCTAGGTTACGCATGATTCAGGGACGGCGTGCGTATGCTATTTTATTATTTTCGTTAAAGATTTAATAAAAACTTTGAATGATCTGTAAATATCGCTATTTTGAATATAACTTAATTAATAAAAAAACATTTTCTAATTATTATCACTGAAAGCAATGACTGAAAGTGAAATAAGTAAATTAGATCACACGTGAATAATTTTGATTCGAGATTATTGTTTCAACGTTCTAAAAATGTTGTGGCAAGTAAGTTGTATTCAAAATAGCGATATTTACAGATCATTCAAAGTTTTTATTAAATCTCTAGCGAAATAATAAAATAGCATATTCGCCGCGTCGCGCCGCTCCTGATTCACGCGTAACTATAGAGCGCTCATTCGTTAGCTTAAAATTGCTCTCATTTAAAAATTGTTGTTCAGACAAAATTTTACCAGAAGAAAAAGTTACTTATTTTGATACGGATAATCACACAGTATATTCCGTATCCGCGAATTCTAGGACACCCTATAGTATATTATGTTATTATTATTATTATTATTATTATCGTTTCTTTTCGTAATTAAAAATCGTGAATTTACAGAAAAATGTGTATTACAAAAAGGCTTATTTTTGCTGTTCTTGCGAAAAGTAAAATCAATATCATTTCTTATAGTTTTTGAGACAAACAATACTATAGTGAAAGTTATATCACATGTCGAACACATTGAAATTTGAGTTCAAATTGGAGAAAATTCGTGGCAGTCATTCGCGAGACAAGTCGCTATGCTGCATATGTCGATAGTATACGCAGTGTGATAAATTATGTATTGAGGTTAAAAATAAAGAATATATGTTATAAAAATGCTAATTAGATACAACGGAAAGTTCCGTGCGTCTGCATGAACATGTCGAGTCAGCTTCTCCACCCTGCGGACCATGTATGTTTATCGTGTATCTCATTTCGCTATTAAATTAGCATTTTTATAACAAATATGTTATGAAAATTAGGTCAGTGAACAATCTCATAATGCTGCACCTTTTATTCTTTCTATGTGATTATATTTATTTACGAGAAATAAAATTCCGTCGATTTTATCTAGTGTCGATACTACTAACCTACTAGACCTTACAAGTATAGACTGGCAATAGAAGCAAAATCATGTCCGTACTTCTTTTTCTATAAGTGTCCGGAAGCACATTTCGCCCATATCGATATATATATTATACGTAGGATGTATTCTGATCGATGCATTTTCATTGTGCTCACATAGGTTGTGTCATAACACGTGACCAATATGTTTCACTAATATGCGCAATATATACGTATGTATTTCCGGACACTTTGAGAAAGAGAAACTAAAAAAGTACGTTTCTCTTCCAACGGACACTTTAACAGAAACTATAGCACATTGCCAGTCCATACTTATAAAGTCTATGCTACTAGCATATATTTTGTTGTAATTTCCTTTGAACATATATTACTAGAAAGAGAATTGTCTATACCGTCTGTGTATTGAGCTGAAGCCAACATCTGTGCGAGAGAGAAAGGTATAGGTTCCCAAATGACTGTAATGCGCATGTGTTATTCAGCCCGCACTCAGCCCCGTTTTTCATTTCTTTTGAAAAGATTTTCGAAGAATAAGAAACTAATCAAAACAGGCTGAGTGGAAGCAGAATGGTACATTACAGTCAATTGGGAACCTATACCTTTCTCTCTCGCACAGAT